AATGACAGAATTTTCATTTTGGGGTGAACTAACCCTTTAACTAAAATTAAAATGAAAACAAAATATAAAAATTAAAACTGCTCTGAAATATTAATACAAACTAAAATAGTACCTCAGTGATAGTAAAATAACGCTGATGTCTAAAGTATCTGCCGTTTTTAAGATGCATGCAATGCTACACTATAAAAATTATTTTTAAAAATAAAACAAAGATTTTTGACGTTTTATAGTCTTTCTATTTCAGAATTCATATTTAATTCAGTGTTTTACATGCCATGGCTTTGTAATTATTTGTGAAATTTACTAGTGATTGCTGAGTGAAAATTGTTTCAAAGTCAATTTTACACAAATAAATTGTTTTTCCAGTATAATGAGTTTGTGTTTGTTATTCAACATATTTGTTGATCTTTTCCATGTTTTCTCAGCTTGGTAAAATACTACGCAGTCCTTTTATGAAGTTTGTTGCTCATGCGGCCTCCTTTATCATCTTCTTGTGTCTGCTGGTGTTCAATGCATCCGATCGGTTTGAAGGCATCACCACCCTTCCCAACGTCACCATCACTGACCACCCGCTCCAGATCTTCAGAGTCAAGACCACACAATTCTCCTGGACAGAAATACTGATCATGGTCTGGGTAGCAGGTAATGCACCAACATTTGTAATCAATATTCATTCATTTATATGATTTCAGCTCTACATGATCCCTTTGTACAACTAACATTTAGAGATTTGCAAGATATTCGATGAGAATTTAATCTCATTACTGTCTAGGAGAAGCAATTGAGAGATTGTAGAGATCTCATGTGTGGTTGTTCTTTCACATATAAAATTGTCAGTTTTAGTAGTACGGGCCATTTATTCAAGAGACTAAAATATTTATTTCCTACACTGTCAGAAATAGAGTTCCTCACTTCAGGACTTAAGCAGGTTGATCAATGAACCTTTCAATGGTTTTGACCCGATGAGACCGATAGAGAGTGAGAGTTTGAGTGGATTAGAGCAAATGTTTTCTGAAGTGACTGAAAATAATGTGTTTTCTTAAACACTCATTTCCTCCCAGATTAGTGCTGGGTAGTAACTTTGGTAACACTTTTTTTAAGGTGTCCTTGTTACACGTTAGATGTACTTACTATTATAATTACTATTAATTATTATGCATAATTACATGGAAGTAACCCTAAGCCAAACCCTAACCATATAGTAAGTACATGTAG